TCGAACGGTGAAGTAGAGGAGAGAAAGCGAAATACAGAAAACGACGAAAAGGCGTTTAAGAGATTAAACGAAGGAGAGGTGAAATAATAAAAAAAACTCGTGGACTAGAGAGTCGAAATTTTTTTGTTCTCTGAGAAAATTTCTTCTTCTTTTTTTTGTTTGCCCAGATTTTCCGGGAAAAACGAACGAGAGATCTCTGTGCTCTCCTCTCTCGTCGTAGCGGTGGAATAATACCAAAATTTTATTTAATTAATGACCCCTTAAAAATAGAACTATAAACAAAATCAGAATGAAATTATTGCATTATTAAGATTATAAACTTTGATGAAATAAATTATTTTCCAACCAAAAATGATATTAACACTGACGGAAAAAAATATCTATTTAATCACACAATCAGTATTTTTTGAACATTTTTGGATGTATAGACATTATGTTTATAATTTGTTCAAGTAAACAATTTTTGTAGAATTGCTCGAATAATACTTACAGGGAAAAAAAGAATATTACATTTATGTGATTCGGATTTGGTAAAAAATTACCTAGATTATAAATTAAATAGCTTACTACAACTGGGAAAACAAAAAATAAAAGCATTGAAAGTCAAAAACAAAAGTGTGTATGTTTAATGTCGGCGAGGGGAAGAGAATTAAATTAGAGTCTTTTGCCTAACCAAAATTAAACCACTAATTAATAAAAGAAGAATTGATTAGACGTAAGGCTTAAATTAGACAAATTCCCAACGCTAAAGTCTCTCTCCGAGAGTGGTCCACTTCGGTTAACTAGCTTGGTTAAAGAATAAAATCGGGTTAGTTTCTCCGGTTTGGATGCTTCATTTCACATAGCTAAAAAGACCAACACTAGAGATTACTCTGCAAGACGATTTCGAACAGAATCAACTTGATTAATTTGTTTATGTTTTAGGAATAGAATACAAAAACATTGTATTTATATGAAATTTCCAAATTATAGAATCATTCAAAGTCCTGGTCTGATTACTAAATTTGTTGAACGATATTTGATCAACAAATGGGGATGTAGCTCAGATGGTAGAGCGCTCGCTTAGCATGCGAGAGGTACGGGGATCGATACCCCGCATCTCCATTGTTTTTGGCTAATTTTCTTTTAAGAGCATTTTTCTTACTCGATTATAACTGGGCTTCTCTTTTATTTTGGTGCCTAAATGTACTCACAGACATACCAGTCCTTTATACGTTGATTGATTAAATCGAAACTAAGCATTTGCAACTAGAACAATAAACTTTTGAACATATGGAACAGAGATTGGATCAGAATATTGACAGTTGCGAAGAAACAAAACAATGCTTACCGGTTTAGTAATTACATCTGAATGACCAAAGTCATTTTTAGATTC